ATGAGAAAGAGTGTTAAAGCACGAAGGGTGATGCCGTGCCGCAGGATGTACCATTCCGTGCCGATTCTATTGATATATGTGAGGAATGAGAGTAAAAACACGAAGGGTGATGCCGTGCACATGTTATTGCTTGGTGAGGACGAGAGAAAAAGCACGAAGGGTGATGCCGTGCACTGGTTGAATTCTGTTTCATTACGTACTATTGAGTTGTGCTGTATTCCTTATTATTGGACGACTCTTATTTGGAATTTATTATACTCCCCACAGCATGTTCCCCTCCCATATTGTCTATCTGTTTTGTATTTCGATTCTGCTGTATATACATATGAAATTGCACAGGTTTATGTGGTAGTCTGGTCTAGCCTCGTCACTACTTCGCCGGGGTTAGGCTAGACACTTACCAGCACATGGGGTCGGTTGTGTTGATGCTATACTCTGTGCATTTTTGCACAGGTCCAGGTTTAGAGCAGCAGCAGCAGCTTTAGTTCGGGAGCATATCTTCAGTCCGGAGAGACCCGAGGTAGCCTTGCAGGCGTCCGCAGGCCCGGCGTCTCCCTTCTATCCTTATATTAGACTGTCATCTCTTTGTATTTGGGGTAAACAGATTTATGTTTCTTTCAGACCTTGTATTTAGTAAACTCTTAGCAGTTCGTGAGTAATGTGACACCAGTCTTGGGTAGAGGCTATTGTTGATTGTTCCGCGTTTTATTTCAGATTACAAATCAGACTTCCGCTATTATTAAACTTCATGTTCTATATTGATGCTATGAATTGTTAAGAGATTTATTTATTAATGGAAAGGTAATTAAGTTGGCTTTGCCTAGCTACCACGAGTAGGCGCTATCACGACCCCGAGGGTGAGAAATCCGGGTCGTGACATTATGACTAGGTGCCATCACAAAACCCAACGGAGGGGAAATTGGGTCGTGACAATTTGTTCTAAGTTATTAGCTATGGGTGCTTAACCTGTTTAGTTCGCATGTTGTTTATATTATTAGTGGTATTGGTTTGTTTAGGTAATGAAGTAGTGGCAGTAGGGTTAAAGGGAGTAATAGGGGTAATTGTAATTAGAGAATTTTTATGAATATTTTTTCTATTGAAATATTTGGCTTAGTGATTGAGTCTCTATTAACAAAGCTTTGCCTATTTGCTTGTTTAGATGTGTCCATAGTAGTATGCATTCATTGGTCAATACAAGAATTTTTCAGCGGGGGGATTGTGGTTTCGTTCAAAACTATGGGCAGGTTATCTAATTGAAAGAAGTGGTTTGAAGTAGTTAGTAATGTGTTGTAAGAGCCTGCATTACTCCAACAACTTAGGTTATTCTTTTTGTGTATGTCAATGACTTTATGAGCCTTCTTTTTAATGTATCTAAGTTTTTGAGTATTGAGATACTTACATGTATCTGCATCAAAAATATTTGCATTAGTACCTGTTGTAGGCGTGTTAGTATTGATTGTGGACCTTGAACGTGCATTGTGTATCTTCTTCTTTGCAAATGATACTATCTTCCATTCACCTTCTTCTGGTCTATGAATACATTAATTTGAACTTGACCCTTGCTGACTTGTCTTGGGAGGTTGTGGACTTGAGTAGGAACACTTTTGGCGATTGTGACCCAGTCTTCCACAGTTTTTACAGAAAAAGTTTCCCCCTTCGTAAAGAATTTGTTGTTTATAGGAACCAACATAAATAAAAGGTTTAACTGGTGTTTCTATGGGCAACTACACACAACCTTGCATATCTTCCTCTTAATGTGGATGAAGTGCATGCGTCAATTCTTAATAATTTTCCTATTTTGTTACCAATTTTTTGGAGGATAATGCTGCCATAAAACTTAGTTAGGAGTTGAGGTAAGCGTACCAATACGGCTGAAAAGAGTTGTTTAGCCTCAGTTGCCCCGAATTGTTGTTCCTATTTTTGCACAGATAGGAAGAACCCACTAATGAACTGAGACCCGTTGCGTAGGGCCCTAATCATATTTTCTTCTTTATTGAACTTCACTATGAAGTAGTCTGCTTCTAGATCCATGAGAATAAAGTTTTCTGTAGGTCTCCATAGCTCTTGGGTTTGTTTCTTGAGATAATGGTGTAGTATACGCTTGCCCATGAGTTTAATAATGACAGAGTATTTTCAGGGTTGGTAGATACGCCTAAGGTCTTATGTGGATACTGATTTGAAATTTTACAACGATTACTTCCGTTCCACGCACATAGGATTTAGGCTGCACTGTTTCATCCATTGGTGTATCGTCTGCCATGAATTGTGTACGTGTCTCTTCATGTTGCATAGTTAAATGGCTCTCCTCGGCATTGACTAAAAGCATATCTTTGAATGTGATAGTGGGTTTTGTGCAGGGAGGAAAAACGTTGGGTTGTAAGTAGGAGTTTAAAAGGCTGTTGAGTTTTCCAGGTGGAGGAGTAATGTCTGGTGGCTTAAGTGGAATTGCGGAGATTTGTCTAGGGGAGTTTAAAGGACATATTATTCTCCGTAAATTGGTATTTGAGAAGGTGAGAAGTTTAGAGAGAAGGTAGACCTTCTCTCACTAGTGTCAATGTTTTCTTCAAATAGTCATGGTTCTTCGATGCCATTTTCCTCATTCATCGTTTAAATCTTCATTGTTAGCGATGGTGCTACTGCTGATAAAAGAAAGGAAGAAGAAGAGGATGGTGACAATTTTTTTTAATTGATTTATTTAAGCGGATGTTATGGGTCGAGTAATGGATAAAATTAGGGGTCGATTTTAATTGAATCGGATATTTTAAACTTGGAGTTGGGCCTTTTGTTCCTAAGCTGCCACGAGTTCCTCCGTTAAAATTAAGGGTAATTTTGAATCAAAATATAACGGTAGGGGTCTATGTATACTGACTGTATAATAGAGGGTAAGTTTAAATAATTTTTAATAGTAGATGGATGTATTTGACTATTTTCCGAAATGAATGTACGGAACCTTAATAATGTAAACATTTGTAAATTTGTTTCCGAGTGTGTAAGAGCGTTCCTTTTTTCCATCATGAAAAGACTATAAAGAAAGGCTTCCCAAAAGCCCTCAGCTTTAATATCTCTGTCTGCCACATTCCCATACACATATCACATCAAACATAAATTCTGTCTTCTCCCACAAAAACCTCGTCCTTCCTCCTCTCCCTTTTCCTCTTTGTTTTCTTTTCCACATTTTCCTCTTTTTTCACGTTGCTCTATTAACTACTACTACTACTTCATTCTTTAGCTTTTCACCATGATAAAATGAACTGTCTTTAGCTCCTACACCTTTTCTTCTGCTATATTTCACTTGGTTCATAGGCTCACTCTGTTTTGGTTAATCTTGAAAATCAGTTTCTTGAAAGAAAAAACATGTTTTTTCTTTCTTTTTCTTTCATGAGTGTAAACCCCATCTGATTTTTGTACTCAAAACCATATTCTGATCTGGGTTTCTTCTTTTCATTTAAGTGTAGGAAAAAAAAAAAAGAAAAACATGATTTCACTGTCAGACCTTTACCATGTTCTCACAGCTGTAGTACCACTGTATGTAGCCATGATATTGGCTTATGGTTCAGTAAAATGGTGGAAAATTTTCAGCCCAGATCAATGTTCAGGAATCAACAGATTTGTGGCTCTTTTTGCAGTTCCATTGCTATCTTTTCACTTCATTGCATCCAACAATCCTTATGCCATGAACTATAAGTTCATAGCTGCTGACACTTTGCAAAAAGTCATAGTTCTTGTTGTTTTAGCCATTTGGTCAAGAATTAGCTCAAGGGGGTCCCTTGAATGGTCCATTACTTTGTTTTCTCTTTCCACTTTACCAAACACTTTAGTTATGGGCATCCCTTTGTTAAAGGGTATGTATGGTGAAGCTTCAGGAAGTTTAATGGTTCAAATTGTTGTGCTTCAGTGTATCATTTGGTATACTTTGATGCTTTTCTTGTTTGAGTATAGAGGTGCAAGAATGCTTATTGCTGAGCAATTTCCTGACACTGCAGGGGATATTGTTTCCTTTAAAATTGACTCTGATGTTATGTCATTAGATGGGAAAGAACCATTAGAAACTCAAGCTGAAGTTGGTGAAGATGGTAAACTTCATGTAACTGTGAGAAAATCCTGTAGTTCAAGGTCTGAAGTTTTTTCAAGAATGTCACATGGACTTAACACTGGTGTTTCATTAACCCCTAGACCATCAAACTTGTCCAATGCTGAGATTTACTCTTTACAATCTTCAAGAAATCCAACCCCTAGAGGTTCAAGCTTTAACCACACTGATTTGTACTCAATGGTGAATGGGAAAAGTGCAAATATGAGTCCTAGGACATCAAATTTTGGCAACATGGGATTTGATGAGGAGAATGGATTTGGTGGGAGGGCAAATGGGGTTTATGGACAGGGTAATGTAGGGTACCCTGCACCTGCTAATGCTGGAATTTTTTCACCTGCTACTGGACCAGGGGCCAAGAAAAAAGCTAATGGAACTGAAGGTGGTAAAGATCTTCATATGTTTGTTTGGAGTTCAAATGCTTCACCAGCTTCTGAAGGTGGAATTCATGTGTTCAGAGGAGGAGAATATGGTAATGAGCTTGGTGTTGGAGCTCACCCAAAAGGTTGGTAACAATTGGTATCTCATATGTTTTTGACTATTTTATACTAGTATTTTAGTTAGTTTTTGTTTGTCTAGATTTGGATGAGTACACTATTTTTTTTCTTTTGTGATCCTATGCTTGTTGTAGGTACTTTTAACTTTGTGATGCACTAAATATGTTTCTTGATTTGACTTTGTTATAGCATTAGATGAACTGTGTATTTTTTGTTAAGCTGCTGCCCAATTTGAGTTGCCTTCTAGTATAGTTTAATTGTTTTCAGGTATAGCTTTGGCCATTTTAATAGCAAAGTTCCTGAAATTGTGGTCCACTTTTGTCTTCTCGTGAGTCATGCATGCATTACTTGTAACAATCGCTTGCATAGGCATACTTGATTCAAGATTTGAAGTTATTGAGTGCAAAATTTTGTCAATATTACTATTCCCATCTTTTAAGATAACATTTGCATGTACCTAAAGTGAGTGGCGAAGCTAGGGTGTTCAATCTTGAAATAAGTAAAAAAAAAAAAATCCGACAAAGAGTGTTCAATATATGTTATGTACCTCTAAAACATAGTAATATTTTAGTCATATACGCAGTGTAATTTTCCGATAAAGGGTGGTCAATTGACCACCCTAACCATAGGGTGGCTTCGCCCCTGCCTAAAGTTTTGACATTTTAAACTATACATGTATAGTGTGAGTTGAGGAAACCACTTGTTATCAAAGGTCACATCCGCTAATATTCATATGAAGTTCGCTGAGTTGATATTATGCTCTTGGCATTTAATTTTTTCATTAATGATTGATTTCTATATATTTTTGCACATTAGATTACGATGATTTTGGCCGAGAAGAGTTCACTTCCGGTAATAAGAACCCTAATGGATGTGATCGAGAAGGACCGGTGCTAAAAAAGCTAGGCTCAAGCTCTACGGTTGAGCTGTTTCCCAAGACTGCTAATGAAACTAAGGCTACTGCTATGCCTCCTGCTAGTGTTATGACCAGACTTATTTTGATTATGGTCTGGCGAAAACTTGTTAGGAACCCAAATACTTATTCCAGTCTCATTGGCCTCACTTGGTCCTTGGTCTCATTCAGGTATACAGAAACTTTCTTGATTTAAATGTGTTTTCATAAAATTTATGTATCAATTCCAAACTAGTTGATGTCGACTATATGAATTATTTGCATCCATTCCGATCACGCCTATGATATTCCAATATTGAATAATTCAATGTTCTTAGGTGGAATGTTGAGATGCCTGTGATTATAGCCAAATCAATATCTATTCTCTCTGATGCTGGTCTTGGAATGGCAATGTTTAGTCTTGGTACGTTTATTGTGACTAAACATTTAGAAAGTCGAACTAAGATTTAGGCTATGTAGTTACAGCGCGCTGATCTTGTTCATAAACTGCAGGTTTGTTCATGGCGTTGCAGCCTAGAATGATTGCCTGTGGAAAAACAATTGCTTCCTTCTCTATGGCAGTGAGATTCATCACTGGTCCAGCAGTCATGGCCGCAGCCTCCATCGCTGTTGGACTTCGAGGTGTTCTTTTGCACATTGCAATAGTTCAGGTAAAGGACCTATAAGGCTACAATGCAACAACTTATATCAACTGAACGACGTAATTGTTTTGTATACTTTAATTTTCAGGCAGCTCTACCTCAAGGGATTGTTCCTTTTGTCTTTGCAAAAGAATACAATGTTCATCCCGATATACTGAGCACAGGGTGAGGACTCCACAAACTTGCAAAAGAATACAATGTTCAGCATATTTTAATTAAATTATGCACCAATAGTGCATTACACGTTAGGTGTAATTCGACTTTTTCCAACAAATTATTCACCATTTTTTTGGAGTTACTAACATATAGTGTTGCCATTAACTGCACTTTGTTTTGGTTTTCAAGTAACTTACTTGTGTTATGTTTTATCGCCCGTCACTGCATAGAATCTAAACTCTTTAGTTTTAGAATTTCAATTGCCTTATAATAGTGGTATTGGTGAGTGCAGGGTTATATTTGGGATGTTAATAGCCCTTCCAATCACTCTGGTCTACTACATTTTGCTGGGGCTTTGAAGCTGAAGACAGTAATGTTACAGAAGCTATTAAATCTCAAAAGAAATGACATTTTTAATTTTTGCCACTGCTTTTTATGGCTTCTAACAAAATGAGCTCTCACTTCTCAGTAACCTAGTAGAGATAAAAAGATGATAGCAGAAAGGGAAGGCAACAAGAGAGAGAAATTGATGATTAGAATTATTTTGTTGTCTCTTTATCCCTTCTATATTTTTTATTAGAATTAATTTGTTGTCTCTTTATCCCTTGTATTTTTGAACCTAGTGATGTACAATGTTATTTAACTCTTGCTTTTCATGAAGTAAGTGAAAGCTCATTTCTCCATTTGAGGGATCGGACCATTATTTTCAAAAAGTATTATATATTGTTCTTGAGCTGTTACAGAATATAATAAACCTGTTGTTTAAAAGAAAACCTCAAGCCTCAAGATATTATCAAGATTAACACAATTCATACTTCAGTTTTGATTTATTAAGTTATGTTTATGATAAATAAATGTATACGTAACATTTAACTTGACAAAAAAGTTGGTGTTTCCTCTCTGCATTATCTTGTTCATATAACAAAAGAAGTGATTCCAGGTTGGCACAAGATAATACTATCTGTCTACTACTAGCTAGTACTAGCATTTATCGAGCTGTACGATCACCGTAATTCGTAAAGCATACATTTGTAACACAAAAAAAGGCCTATTGCCAGGTATACTACTGTATTTTCGTCCCAATATATATATATATATATATATATATATATATATATATATATATATATA